GTACCAAAATCTTGTTTTGTGGTTGTGACTCAAATTCAATTTCACCCCTAAGAGGTGCCATTTCTAAGACAAAAATAGTTTTTGTCATATTTTTTTCCCCGGCTTAACCCTAAAAGGTACCGGAGTAACTATAACGGTAGTAATTTTAGATTTCAACACCCCTAAGTGGTATCAAACCACAAATTTTAACCCCTAAAAGATACAGCGATCACCTCCGTCACTTTTATATGATTAACAATTTATATTTCTCATGTAAATTTAGACAGGTAAAAAATCATTTTATCATACATGTTCAAATCATATTTGGTATAACTCAAATTATTTGCATAAGACAATTCTCCATGGATGTAAAGCTTATTAAACATGCAACTAGAGGCGTAAACAAAAGAAAAGACCACCAGAATAAATAGTTTGTAATTTAATTATCCACTCACTTTAACCCACGCACTGCTGTATAAACTCTGTATAAGGGAAATCCACGTGTAAACTGAAGGGTATTTAAAATACAATCGCAACCACGTATTTCATACGAAAACGCCGGTCCAACATTCATCTACATACTGCTAGCTAGTGTGTACATGTACAGTCCTTTCGATATAGCCTGCAGTTTCCGAGTAAATAATCCCGGCGGAACTGCGATCACCAACTGAGATGATTCAGCTGTCGGCAGTACAAGTGTTTACCACAAGCTGTTGACTTGTTTTCTCTTTGTTACTTGATAATTTACAAAGGTGAGTTTTGTGTGATCGACTCACCGGCCGACTCGCCACTGAAAGAGGTCACGGACGTGATTTTCACACCGGTAACCTTCTTCAAATCTGCAACGGTATATTCTCCAACTGATTTTCCAACCAAAACATCCATCGGATGGTTTTGGATTTCCACATTCTCCTTGTAAATTCCAGAGACGACTACTGCCTACGTCCGCCATCTTTGATTTTGGGTTCACTTCCGATTCAAATCCATTGTGTTTCAACAGCCAATCAAAAAAATTCAAATAAATTCAAGCGCCCAGAATATTCCAGAGTTCGTGATTCCTTGGTGCTGACCAAAAGGATCGCGGCCTCTGGGAACGAGATTGCACTTTAGCGGAAGCATCAGACCCCCTGGTCGGAATGAATTTGTTGTATGAAAAGGGGACAGTCTCTCTTTTCTCGCCTCTTACGAGGCTCGCGTGTGGATTATCGGCGCTTCGCGCCTCTCAATTCGCGTGTCACGCACAATATCTCGAGTAAAAGAGAGACTGTTTTGCAGTCTACGAAAACATGTGTTCCGATGTCAGGAATAATAATAAATAAATAAATTAAAAAAACTGGTGTTCTGGTTGAAAATTAAGGTAAACTCCAGAGTTTATATCTTGACTTTGCAAATGCAGAAATGCAGGAAATGGCAATTTTAGAGGGTAAAATCAAAACAAATTTCGGACCCCCCTAAAAGCTTGCGCCTCCAGCACTCGTTCCATGCCTCTAGTGTGCCTTCTGTCCCCTCTCAAAAAAATCTCCCTATTTCAAGCCTCCAGAGGTTGGCATCTCTGTGGTTGCAGGCGTTCCCGTACTCCCTCCCACGATCGCGCTTCGCGCTCCGACTCCTCGCACATCGCGCTCGCCAAACTCCCCTGCCTCCCCTTTCTACGCCTGCCACGCAGGCTACCAGAATCATTGATTTTGAGCTATTTTTCCAAGAACACCGTAAAACTTGAAAATGTCGGCCCGACTTTTTCAAGTTTCATAATTTTCCACTTTTTTGCTGTACTAGTATAAGTAACTTTCAGCAAGAGCAGGCCACTATTAGTGTATTTCCATTGATACAAACACTTCTGCTAGGATGTTAAGTAGTACTAAGCTTATTTAGATCTACACACAGCTACACAGAAAAAAACCCTCAAGTCTTCATTAAGCTTACAATCAACTAACACACAAATTAGCTAAATCCTTGATACCTGAGATATAGCCTCTTCAACTTCTGGCGAGTAGAATATCGGTTTAGTTAGGCTTTCCTCAAGAAAATCATCTTCAATTTCGCCTGATGGTGCGCCACTCTCGGCCGCCATCTTGGATCTTGTCTCTCGCTAATGGTGGAAGCCGCTGGACTGTCAGCACTTGGCCCGGTTACAAAGGGATCTTGGCATTCGTTGTTCCAACGCGTACGAGCGCTTTTGTCTCGCAATAACACTTATATTTCTCCTTGCCAAGCGCGAATTTTTTTGAGCAAGTAATGTAGAAGGTAAGTCCAGTTTCACTAGTTTTGTTTACCGATTGGCACTTTAGCTAGATCGTATTAAATGTACAGCCCTATTGCGTTACACAATTATCTGGATCTTCCGATTTACAAATGCGACATGTCACCAGACATGTCTGGCTGATATTCAAGCTATTTTGTTTTTGGTTTATTTTGCTGCTTTCCAAAGCCTGGATGTTTGTTTCTTCAACGCATTGCCGCAACAGTGTATTATGACTTGTTTGTCCAAAAATCGGCTGTTTTCGCGTTCATCGCGAATGTCTGAACTTGTGATTGGTGTGGGTTTTGTGAAATTTCCAGACGGGTTTTACACACACTGTCTGGCGCGATGTCATTTGGACTTCTTGGTTTTTTATTATTATTATTATTTTCGTAACCATATTCCAGGAAGTTTCAAAGGGAAATATTACGTTTCCTGGTTTGATATATCAAATGTCGACTTGTTATGCTCGAAAGAAGGTCACCATATCCATAAAGACAATTTGCCAGTAACAATACATTGAATTAAGTTCCAGACATTTCAAATTATGCATGCGTGGACTATCAATAGAAAAGCCCTAAGGTCTTAAATGGGTGGCAAATTATCAAAAACAACTGTTTATACTAGTGAGAGTAGAGGGGGGGAAGTATTTTATTATTTTTCTTTAATTGGATTCATGGCAATATTACTGGGTTTCTTTCAAAGTTTTACATGTGCAAATTGTATGAAAGTGATAGAAATCGGTCATTGGGAAATGAGTTGATCAATCAGAATCAAGGATCGTCAACTTGTCCCAGAATCACTGAGTGTCCGCATCAGGCCATTTTCTATTTCTTTTATTTAATTAAGCCAGAAATATTATATGGTGCCATAATCGCGTTAACTTTACAAATTGTCATGCAACACACCTGGCCATCCAATCAGGGCATTGTGTTTCATAATCAGAATTAGTTTTTGTATTGTCAATTTTTATACTAAAAAATGTCTTTATCTTCTGAGTTGATGACAAACTAAGAGGCGATGAAAAACAACGATAAATTAATTACTGTTGAAAATCAATCAAATTAAAAATGGCAAAAAAAAATTTCATTGATTGGTCATTTATTTCCAATATCAAGTGATATGGGGTTGTATTTGAATTCAAGCTAAGTTAAACGCACGACCATAGTGGCCAGCGGTACCCCGCATGATCGTAGGGTTGCGGGGTGGCCTGGGGGTTTTGCAGGACCATTATCGTCTTACAGCTCTCCTGTGGATGTCAAGCCATTTCGTGCGTGTTGCCTTTCGTTGTCGGCGCTCGAAGTATCTGATATCTGTTATTGTTTGCTATTGATTTTCATCAATCGTTAATTTATTTGTTTGCATAAAAAAGTACACTGTACAATTTAGGTCAGAATAAACTCTATCATTGATGTCCTGATACACCATGTAAAATTTGTACATGTTGTATTTCTTTCACCTAGGATTATTGAATGTGATTTACATGTATGTAGTTCATCAAAAATTGCTAGGCACATGTAAAATTATAATGATTAAAATCAATCATCAGAAAAATAATAGATCATCAATTAACCGCTCTTATTCAAGTTATTCAAGGACAATTATTTTAAATGATTATCTGGTATAATTATATTTTGATTTAAAAAAATAATAATAATAATAATAATATTGATTCATGGATTGTCAGTCATTGACATTAAAATTAATACATGTCATGTAAATGGTTTTCTTGCCGGCTGAGTTTGCAAAAGAAGGAAAGAAATGAGGTTCACATGCACTAGCTGATGTTGAGTTTCATGCTACATGCTACTTTAACTGTTGTCTGTAATCTGCTGTATGTGTAATGAAGGTTTTATCGTGATTGTCATTTGATTGTAGTTATTGTTTTTCACCGTCGGTTTCGAAGTGCCGCTCAACAACACAAATGGTTGATGCTGGCATGCAAAGTAACCCAGACTTTTTCAGAACAAGCGCCGTTGAATGTTGTTCACGTGTTCGCTTCTGTCGCTTTCCAGTTATCCGCTAAATAATTAATGCAAACTTGACCCATCAAATCAACAACTCAAATGCCTTCGCTCGAAAAGACGTTTGACCGATGAAATATTCAAACCAGTCGTCATTTTGATCGATGAATATTGTCCGAGAGAATTCTAAAGCTGCTAAAGGGCATTCAAAATAAACAATGAATATCATCAACTGAAAAACAATGAGCTAGCTCATACATACTAATGAGCTTTGCTGTCCACGCGTTTTCGATTTGCGTTAGTAAAACGCTAACACGTTCGACACGTTTTTGCTAATGCGTTTAACGCATTGATTTTGGTTCGGTTATCTCCAGCCTGTACTGTAGATTTACATGACCATTGTAGCTAGTTTCCGGTTTTCTTGCCATGCAAGCAACAGGTTTTCCCACCCACCTAGCTCTCTGCCAGTCTGCAAGCTTATCATGTGTATAAATGTAGTACTGTATACATTGTGTATTTAATGATTTTTGTGTCGGTTTTAGTTCTGGTTCGGTCTCTGTCTCGGTCAGAGTGTGTATTCAGGGTGCACGCCCAATAGTTAAAGCCGTACTCGGGCCAAACTTGCTCACACTGCCGGAGCTTATCCCGGTTTCCATAGCATGAAGCCAACTAGGAGTATTGCTACTCCCCCTGGATGGGATGTAAAGTCCATCGCAGTTTACCCCCCAGCATTTTGTCACAAGTACCCATTTATATATACTCCTGGGTTGAGAGAGGCACTGTGAGAGTAAAGTGTCTTGCCCAAGAACACAAGACAGTGACCCAGGCCAGGGCTCAAACCCTTGGAAACCACTCGATCCGGAGTCCAACACAGTAACCATTAGGCTACCGCGTCTCGCTGGCACAACACCCGTATTCAGGGTGCACGCCCAATAAGCTTTCTAAATAAAGTGCCGACATTTCATTCTTGTGTGGCAGACAAATGACATTGAAAGTTATCAATTATTAACAAAACATGACTGACAATGGCATTTTGTACCTGCGTTCATTGTCAGGACTCCAAGCTTTTAATTTTTTCAATAATATTGTTTCTTTATATTATCATCAATAAAAACAACCACCATAGAACCAAGCTTTGCTTGTGTGATTATCAATTGAAAATACTTGGTTTGTTTTCAAGTTCCCTGCTTAATTTTCATTGTTGCAAGGTGGGTGGTAGTTTTAAGAATTCAAACTAGCTAATAAATAAAACCTGCTTGAAAAGGTTATTGTAGAATAGACTCAACCAAAAGTAGACCAATTATTATTGTAGAATAGACTCAACCAAAAGTAGACCACTTTGCTCCGACGAAGGGCTAACGCTCAAAACGTCAGCTTTTAGAAATTCGCTACGGCGGTTAATTTACCTTTATCAACTCTGAGTTGATAATCAACAATGGCATAATGGTTGCAGTCTAACAATGAGGTAGTCAGAACTCGTTTTCACAGTGACCGGTAGCAGGGAGCGCAGAACAATTTTTAATTAGTACTCTGTGGGAAGACGCGGTGGCCTAATGGTTAGTGCGTTGGACTCCAGATCGAGCGGTCTGGGTTCGAGCACTGGCTGGGGTAATTGTGTTGTGTTCTTGGGCAATACACTTACAGCACCCGTAACTTTCACAGTGCTTCTCTCCACCCGGTAACCTGCGATGGGCTTGCATCCCATCCAGCAGGGGTAGCAATACTCCTAGCCTGCTTCATGCTACAGAAACTGGGATAGGCTCCGGCAGTGTGGGTCAGTTTGGCCTCTTCACTTAGTCAAAGGAAGCTGTTGTTGTTGTTGATGATGTTGTTGTTGTTTAATACATGTATGTAATTTTGTTTGTACCGTCTTGTTTCTTGCAGGATGGACTACTTGGAATGTAATTTTGGACCCTCTTGCACTTGCGATCATCGGCCAACCCTTATCCATGGCACGTCACATAACTTTCCATCACCTGATAGCAGAGGTTGTGAGATGATGACTCGTTCATCACCTTCTTGTAGCAAGAAAGACCACAATGTGATACCAAAGAGAGCAAGAAGTGAAGGTTTGTTGAGCTACAGTATTGCAGAGATCCGGCAAGTTTCTTCCTGCATCAAAAATTGGGACATCTGCAAAGTGCCATCCGATGATAATAATCATGTTCTGGTGTGGCACAAAGGCTGCAAATGATCTTAGCTTTAAATCTTATAGGGCTATTGAATGGTCTTTGCGAGCATTCGCGAGCATGCGAGCACAGCGTTTTTCTTTGCGAGCACGAATATTGATAAAAGTTAGCCTTGCGAGCAACGAGCACTCTGCAAAAAACTACATGTACCTTTACTAAAAACCGAGCATGCGAGCGCTTGTAAAAATATGCGAGCACAAGCAAATGAGCACCCACTAAAATTTTGCGAGCAATTCGAGCAGAAGTCTAATTTTGCGAGCACTTGAAAATTTTGAGGGACCATTCATAACCCCTTCTTATTATTGCTGTTGATAGATAAGAGTGTGTAATATTAAAGTTTAAATAAATTAATAATAATTATTGCCTGTTCCAAAGTTCAAAATGGAGACTGGGGACATGTTTTTAAATTTTACAAACTATAAGATAAATAAAACAGCTGATCCTTGCCTCGGTCTTTTCTCTGACGTACAATGTAAGGATCAGTCTGCTGTTTTATTGATCTTTGTTCACATTCCTCTACTGATCCAGATCTTGGCCACAGATCCGGCATCTCTCATCAATTTGGAGTTGTGGTTTTCCCGTTCAGTGTTTTAAATTTTAATTTAATTAAAAATTGGAGCCCAGAGTACCCGGCGAAAAACCCTCAGAGAAAGGATGAGAACCAACAACAAACTCAACCCACATATGATGCCGGATCCAAGATTAGAACCCTGGCCACATTGGTGGGAGGCGAGTGCTCTCACCACTGCGTCATCCCTTCATCGTGTTACTACTCACTAAACCGTCTAGTTCAGTCAACTAAGCTTTTAAATTGTTGCTGACCACAGGTCCTTTACTGTTCCAGGTTTCAGAGTTGGAGTCTTTGATTGCAGAATGTGTGAAAGGGTGTACCAAACTGAGGAAGACTTGGAGAAACACCTGCTTAATCATGCCGAACATCGCCCTTACAAATGCCCTCAATGCAACAAAGGATTCAAACAACCCTGCCATCTGAGTCAACATATGCGCACGCACACAGATGAACGACCATTCCCTTGTGAGGTGTGCCGCAAATCCTTCAAACAAGCCTGCCAGCTGAAACAACACATGAGGCTTCACACGGGGGAGAAACCCTATCATTGTTCTCAGTGCAGTCGCGCCTTCAAACAAGCTAGCCAGTTAAACCAACATGTACGCCTCCATACTGGTGAGAAGCCCTACAAGTGCAGCCACTGTGACAAGACTTTCACGCAGGCCAGTCAGCTCCGCTCGCACAAGAAGACACATGATCCTAAACCCGAGAGGAAAGGCATGCAGAGAAAACCAAAATCTATGCCACGAGGAGCGGTAGTTATGCCGACTTTCAACACAAAAGCTTCCACCCAATCCATGATGTACCCTCAAAAGCAATTCAGCTTCAATCCAACCTTGAAAATGGATCCAGCATTTGGTGGTAGCTTCAAAACTGCACTCTCTTATGGTGGTGGTGGCTCAGGCTTACAGGTATGTCACATGAGAGAAATCCCGGTTTCGTCTATACCACCTGACTTTACAGTTGGGTAGATTAAAATAGGCATCTTTCAATGAACTTTCTGTATTTTAGTGCATTAGACAAATGATAATTGCAAGGTTGTGCTCTACACAATGTGTACATGTACACAGTACATGTCCATGCAAGTTTGCTCCGGATATCTGGCACGTTTCAGTGTCTGGCAACAAGACAAACTTACTTGATGTCCAAATCGAAGTAGAATACAGCCTTGAATACAGTTATTATTATTGTTATCAACTACTAATAAATTATTTCAGCTGTATAGCTCATTTTAGAAGTCTTATAGCCTGAGATGAGATTGAGCATGCAAGCATTTATGATACTGTTTGGAGGGACAGGGAATTTACATTGTACAGTGTACAGTGTACATGTTAGCCTGCGTAGCAAGCGTTCCTGTACGAACGAAAAGCTTTTTCCGCGATCGAAGAGCTTTTTCTGCATTTTGGCCGCACAAAAATTGAGGCGAGAGCAAAAACGTCGGAGAGGGGGTGGGGGAGGAGGTAGGCGCTGAGGGAACGCTTGCAAGCAGACCCCATGACCCCAGACCGATTTTTCACGGTTGATTTCATTCGTTGATTGACAGCTTGTCAACAAATTCCCTCAATTCCACCATGGAGGACCCCTCCCCTCAAGTGGTACCATAAATGCTGACATACCCACTTTCATATCAGGCTTTTCTAAGTGAGTTATGGTAATATAATTACCACTTAGAGCTTTTTTTGTATGTGGCGTGAATAATGATTCTTCTATATGTTCCATTGGTATAGTGTAGTGTGAAGTCCATTTTGGACAAATAATCACAGCTAAATACAGTATTTATAGAGAGTAAGAGTGTGTTTAATTAAAGTAGGCTTCAGATTAATTTTAAACAAAATGCCTGCTACACATTTACTTACTCGCTCAATCCTCTTCCTTTCCATTGGAACATAAGGCATAGCCTGTTACTTAAAAAAAGCTATATTAATTAGTTTTGGAACCACCGTATACATACAAAGTCAAGACACAAACCTGTTCTAAGGTTTATAATCTTGTTACATTTGTACCTGTGAAACGTAGTCTTTGTAAATGTCGACATACATTATTTGGTGCACAGAAAAAATAATTTATTTCAGTCTTTTGCTTTATAAGGGTAGTTTGTGTACTCTTTAAAGGTGATTGTCTAGAGTTTCAAGTATAATTTAAAAAGTCAGAATTATTTTGGTGTATTTTGTTATTTTATTAACATTTGACGAGTACTTAAGATAAATGTAGATCTTTTGTTTTATTTTGTACATTGTCCCAGGTATTACTAATCGCTGCTCATGCGATGTAATCAATGAGTGATCTACATGTACAGTATTACAGAGTCGTTGATTGTCAGTAAGACTTGATGACTATTCCATTTGATGGTTCATAAATTACTCATTGATTTAGAGTGTTTTTTAATTGAGTGTCAAAAGTAATCCAGAATTGCTTTGGTTTTGCTTTCATGCTTTATCATTGGTTTAAAAAACTTACGCCACAACTCAACCAATCACATTGTGTGGTTCCAGAATATACATGTATCTATACCTCCCCACGGAAGGGTTTTTTGGTTTGAACCCCCCCCCACCCCCTCCCCCCCTCCCCCCAGGAATTTCCAGTTTAGCTTCATACTTTCCTTTTAAAAGTTTGGCTTTTGAGACCCCCCTCCCCCTCGGAATTTCCAATGACCTTCCTTGGGGTGGGTATGGATATTTTATGGAACCGCACATTCAAAATAACAACCAATAATAATAATTATTGCAAATTGAACACACTCGTTTTCCCGCACTTGGTGTTGGTTGAGTGATTGATTTTGATTGGTCCATTGGGTTGTTTAAGTTTGCCGTGATTGGCTATTGTGATTGTTTTGGTTTTGGTTTTACGACACTCAACTGAAAACCACTCCCTGACATGACATTGATTAGTTATCACTGGATTGTATTACTTTGTAGATATTTGAAGAGTCTAATATAGTTGTAGTATAATATTAAATATTATTAATAGTAAATATTAATTATTATTATTTTGAGTGTACAAAATACTTTTCTTATATGTCTGGAGACAATAAATTCCATGTGGAGCGGGAACATACCATATTATAAGTAACGAGGATTCACAAATATACTAGCGTACATGTATTTCTGTGCAAGCATTAGCTAGTAGCATGGATAC